GTGCCAGTCTTGGCAGTAGCAGTTAGTTCCTGCTAAAAGAAAACACAGTCATGATCACTCATTGCTGTGAGCTGAGCACTGAAGATGAGAAATGGCTGTTCATTCTGCTAGTAAGACATTCTCTTGTTTACGAGTGGCAGGCGTGTGCCAGGAATCATTCCTCTGTTTAAATTAGGGGAAAATACATTTTATTTATATCATTAATTCTAATGAGAGGGCCCCTCAACATTTTACTAGGCATGAGTCAAATCCAAGGGATAGAAAAGTGACAGCATCTAATAGGGATTTTAAAAATGTATGACCTAATCATGATTACTTTTGCAAAACCACATGATGTGAACTCTTGACAAAAAACAAATAAAAAAATCGCCAAACCAAAGAGGAAGCCGAAAGGATTCATAATCTAAAATAAATTAATATATTTCTTCCATGGTGCAAAACATTCTAGTCTATATATGAACTTAGAATAATATATATACATATGCTGTTGATTATTTATTACGTGATTCTAATTTTGAAATAATATCAGCAACCAGTGCAGAACCTATGCTACAGTTGTGATAATGCCTTCACAACAGTGTGTTAGGTCTACCTTTCACCAGTTTGTAAGAAAGTGACAACAGGATCTGTAACATGGATTCAGAAACCTGTATGATTGTTTAAACACTGCTTATTGAATACATATTCATCCAATAGAATTTAATGCCACGTAAACAAGAATAATTTGATTTAAGTCTACGGAAACGATCGGCCACATTTCATTACTTACTTTACCTCCGGTACTTTGCCTGTGACTACATTACGGCTGCTAAGAAACTGAAGTAAATTGACGCATCGTTTGGCAATGGTATTAAATGAGCAAATGACATTATCGATTAATATCGGGACATAAAATTACAATGCGAAAAGGAACACAGCAAAAAAACATTTTTATATTTTTTATTTACAAAAAAGGACAGTCACCTCTCCCGTTTTAGATTAGGAAGTAGAACATCGAGTCACACGGACACATATGTAAAGCTCATGCTATGGGAGAAGCATTTATGGAGAACCTACTTCACAATGTTTTTTTAGGTTGCCTAAGAAAAATAACATACACTAGACAATCCTACATTATCAGCAAGGCACATGCTAAGATATAAACGAATACATAAAATAACTACAAGCCAGCATTACGTGCACACAGCACTATAACCCATTCACTTAGTATTCAAACACAAAAGAAAATGCTGTTATAAGATACAACGTTTTACTCGTAGGCAAAAGCTAAGTAGATTGCATTTCATCTAGAATAGGAGGAGACTGACACTTTTCATTTACGAATTGATCAAGCTTTCATTATCCTTATTTATCTTCTTCTTCTGAATTTATCCATGTTCATATCTCCATGACAATCTGGTATACTGGCTTCGTCCTCATGACCAAGGAAAAGCAAGACTTACAGACTAAAATGACTTTTTTTGGGGGAAGCTTGGGGGTGGGGGAGGGAGTGATGTATATATGCGACTGAATAAATAAATACAAAAAAAAAAAAAAAAAAAAAAAAAAAACATTTTCATGGCAGAGTAACATGACCAGCCTACTCGCCTTCATGACAAGTCTGCTGGTTTGGCCTGGGTGCTTGAGTGACATGACTGGAGTATTGGCCTAAGCAGAGAAATAACGAGGCTGTTTTACTGACCATAGTTGGGAAGGTGGAAGCAGCTGATTAAGTGAAAGTCATGATAAATATACAGAGAGAGAATGTTAATATAACTGATCAGAGTATGATGTATATTGAGGGGAAAAAGGAGTGTGTTAAGATGACTTCATTTGTGGATTTAGTGACTATATGGTCTAATATAAAGAACCTAAATGGCTATCAGATATGTGTGTTATATCCTGGCCTTGATATTACCGTGGTGGTGTTCGTTCTCGTGTCATGGAGTCAAAATTTTGTTGAAAATGAGGTCTTACGAAACAGGACTGACTGCTTGTGCAATATTTAGCTGTCATTCAATAATATGGGGATTAATACATCTGATAGTTAAAAAAACATATATCACTATATCACATCATATTCTTTCCTGTTGGAGATATTTTGAAAATCAAAAAAAATGCTTGACAGAATTCAAAAGTGCATTTGAAATGAACATCACAAAAATTGAGACCAAAATAAGAATTTAGCATAATTGCCTTTCTCTATACTGCCACGTGAATATACAAATATACAACATTATTATTTATTACACACTCGTTTTCTGTGTCAACTTTCTTTATGAAAATAAAGTGAAATATGAAAAAAATACCATAAACGTATAACTTAGTTTTTCTCACGCTTTGACAAATTCTAACATCATATTTAAAGGGGACTCTAATCAGGTTGTAGTGTTGTTCTTTTACCCTGTAAAAAACTAATAATCACCAGCTCTTCATAACCTGGAGTTTACGATTTTAACACGTGACATATGGAAGAGTGCAAAAAAATGTAACCATGGTGACAGACTGTATTTCCATTAAC